GCCGTGCTGCTGGAGCTGGTGGTGCTACGGGCGCTGGAGGTCCTGCTGCTGCTGGAGCTGCTATGGGTTCTGGAGTCACTGGTCCCGGAGGTGCTCGTACTAGAGGTACTGTAGCTGCCGGAGCTGGAGCTGGAGCTGTTGAAGGTGCTGGAGCAGGTGCTGCTGGAGGTACTGGAGCTGGCGCTACTGGGGCTGCTGGGGCTTCTGGTTGTGCTGCTAGAGCTGGTGCTCCTGTGGGTGCTGGATTTGGCGCTACTGGTGCTGCTGGAGGTGCTGCTGGAGCTGGTGGTGCTGCTGGAGTTGGAGCTGACCCTGGGGGTGCTGGTGCTGTCCCTGTAGGTTATGGAGGCGCTGCGCGGCCGCGGCCGTACTACGTTCCGCTCCTTCAGCAGGTTCTTGGTCTTCCGCCTTCTACTGGTCCTACTTGATTCCTATCCTCACAACTCTTACATATCTCCCAGTAGCGCACTTATTCTTAGTACCACTCATATCGCTAAGTAATGCAATTACTCTTAGTAGCACTCATATCGCTAAATAAAGTACTTATTTTTTAAACCGCTTAAATTTCTAACTAGCGCACTTACTCATAGTACCGCTATATCGCTTGGTTATGCATTTACTCATAATAATCATTCTGTGAACTAACGCATTTTCTCATATAGTACTGCGAAGATAAACTCCACAACGGTGGGAGCTATACTACGGGGTAGGCACGAGTTGTTAGAGTGATCATACCTCTGTCTGTGTTCTCTAGCACTTGTGCGTTCATGGGGCAAAGCGATTATTAAGGAAAGTTGAGAATACAGAATGATAATACAACAATGGCAAGAATGACTACATGAGTGACTAGCAACCTAGCAGGGCAGCTGGTCGACCGCCAGCACAGCATGGTCGACCGTCTGCCAGCGTCGCATAGAGGAGCCACGCTAGCGCTGCAGAAACGCGGCCTGCCAACAAAACAGGTCGACGGCGTGCCAACGCTGCAGCAGGGCGACTGTCCAGCATTGCACTCGTAGAAGACAGTAGTGCGCATGCTCGCAGGTGCGCGCACTTGATTGGCCCAACGTGCACTTCCATGTGCCCACCAGCTGTTGACTGTGCCTAATCAGCCACATCGGCTTCGGGATACCAGCCCGCAGTCGCCTTCGCCATCGCGACCTCGACGACGTTCGCGCGCCTCCGCAAAATGGGTCAACCATCCAGCGCGCACCCTGGTCGACGACCTCCCTCGGTGACCCCTGCGCCCGTCGAAGACCCTTCCTGGTCGACGGCCCGTCCGTCGACCAGCTCGGTCAGCTGCAACCGTCGAAATCCCCTTGTCGACAGTTCCAGCCGCAGGTGTCCTGCGCAGGTCGGCGACCACCTCGTCGACCTGACCCGTCGAGGTAGACCGTCGGCTCCCAGTCGACGGCATTGCCGCAGCGGTCTCCTGCAGCTCGACGAAACCCGTCGAGTTGCTCGCCCACTGCGTACGGTAGGCTGCTTCTCGCGTTAACGTCAGCTCAGCGTAGGCGTCGACGGAGACTAGCGTGTTCGGGGCCCGCCAGTCTGCTCCTCGTCGATGAAGCGCCTGCGCAACTTGTCGATGTACGAGTGCTGATGTAACCACAGCTTTCTCGACGGGTCTATTGCGCACGATCTCCAGCCCAATGTAACTCTCGACCGGGCTGATCTCGTGCAGCTCAAAGGCGGCCTCCAACAGCTCATTTAGCTCCTTCAGCATCGCGGTGCTGCTGCTAGCAGCGAGCAGATCGTCAACGTAGACGAGCACCCAGTACGTCACCCCGTCGTCACCGACCTTGAAGTACAGCGCGTCATCAACCTGACTCCTCTTCCAGTTGGTGCTAGTCAGCACGTCGTCGAGCGCCTTGTACCACAACAGCGAAGACTGCTTCAGCCCGTACAGGCTCTTCAACACCTTGCACACCCGGCCGGTCCCGTCATCGTAGTAGTCCGGCTGGTACATATACAACATCCTATCAAGCTTGCTTTGCAGGAAAATGTTCTTCATGTCGAGCTGGATCAGGTCCAGGTCTAGCACAGCGACAAAGCTGAGGAAGGTCCTCAGCGTGATATAGCTGCTGGCCGGCGCGTACATCTCGTCGTAGTCGACGCCATATACCTGCATGAAGCCTTTCACGATCAAGCGCACCTTCTAGTGGGCACCTAGCCGTCGATGTGGTACTTCGTCATCAGCACCTAGCGGTGCTTCATGATGTTTACACCGCGTGGGCGTTCGACTAGCTCCCACGTGCCCATGCCGATGAGGCTACGGATCTCCGTCCATGGCAGCCTTTACCGTCTTACTTTTCTGGCTTGCCAACGCCTCCTTCACCGTCATCTGCGCGATGTCCCAACGGTGATCGGTATCGGCGTGCACGTCAGGGTCGAGCTCCGGTGGGTCGACGTCGGCCTCAACATCGTCAAGCAGTGTGGTGGCACACAGGCGTGGTAGCTCAGCCACTCCGGTGGCTTTCGAGTTCGACCTGATCGTCGCAGCTCCGGCTTCTCGACCGGAACCTCCACCACATCTTTTGCGGTGAACTCCTCCCCTACCGACACCTCCCCTTCATCGTCAACATCTTCGTCGTCGACGAGCTGCTTCACCAGCGTTGACCCTGCGACCGGCTTCTCCACTCTCGTCGGCCCTCTTGCCGACTTCTCTTTGATCTACAGCTCCCCTGTCGACTTCCCCTTCAGCTGCTCCCCTGTCGGCGGCATTTCTGCTGTCGCGTTCTGCACCTGCTCCCTTGTCTGTTGCTCCCCTGTCGTCGACGGCTGCACATTCTCGTCAACAAGCTATGCCGGATGTCAACCGCACGCGATGCCACTGGCCGGCGCCACAGGCGACGCCGCAAGGCTCCCCTTATCACCGGTGGTCGACACTTGCAAATCGGTGACAAGGGGCGGAGCAACAGGAACAAGAGGAGGAGGAGAGGGTAGGACTTCCTCGACGTCCGCATCAGCAGGCTCGTCGACCTTGGCGAGAAGCAAGAACGTCGCCGTCGAGGTGTCTGTCGGCGGGTGGACCTCCGTCCGTCCCGACGCAGGCCCGTATTTCGCATTTCACACCACCAGCGACAGGGTATCGTAAAAGATGACCTCGACCGACGTGACCACCTTGTTGTTGGTCAAGTCGAGCACCTCCCAGCCCTTGCTCTCCGGCGACACCCCCAGGTGAAGTCCCCAACGAGCCTTTGGCCCCAGCTTCCCACCGCGGTGCTGCTCAGGGACCATAAACTGCACCATGCAGCCCCACACCCGGGCCAGCGTGAGATCGGGCTTCTTATCGGTCAGCAGCTGATACGGTGCCATCCCCGACGTCGTCGTCAACCGCTCCAAGCAGTTGCGCACCCTGTCATAGAGAAAGGTGCCACCAGTGATGCTGCACGCCCATGTGCAGCAGCATCGTCCGCACGGACTCGACGACCGTGCGCATCTCCCGCTCAGCCATCCTGTTTTGCTGCGGATTGTACGGGCAGGTCAGGTCGTGGACGATGTCTTTCTTGTCGACGAAGTCGATGAATTCCTTCCCTAGAAACTCGTCGCCACTGTCAGAGCGAAGCACAAGCACCGACTTATTCGTCTGGCACTCTGCAAGCAGCAGCCACTTCTCGATCACCCGCCGAACGTCGCTCTTCTTAGCGACCGACGTCACCCACACGAACGGAGTGTGGCGGTCCTTCAGCAGGAGGACGTACAAGCTGCCATCCGGAATGGCCCGCACAAGTCAATATGCACAACAGCCAGTGCCTCCTCGGCGTCCGAGCCCTTGTCGGGGAAGGTGTCTTCCCGCCGACGCACGAGACACACGGCAGCCCCGGTCGACGGTGTGAGGTCGAGGCCAGTGGTGACGTCGTGCTTCGCCGGGCTCTTGATCGTATCGACGCCAACGTGCGCGAGCCTCGCGTGCCACCGGTCGGGAGTACCTCCTTCGTCCCCATCAGGCGGTGCGAGCAACCGCTATCCAGCACCACCGTCATCGCATTCGCTTGCACGGTGGCCGCAACCGCCTTGAAGACCTCCCCGACTTCTAGCACAAGCGAGACTCGCTACTCCACCACGCCGACCATCGAGCACGACACCTCCCCGTCGCTTTGGCCCTTGCCACTAGAGTTTTCGACGTCCTTCGTCGACGACATTTTCTTCGACGTCTACTTCTCCTTGTCAACCGCCTCCAATCATGCCTCCTCTACCCCTCCTTCCCATCCCCCTTGTTCCTCCTAGGTGCAACCACCGTCCATCCAGCCCGCCTTTCTCATCGGCCTAGCGCTCGCTTTCTTCTGCCTGCCCGGCGAGGGTGACAGCCCGAAGAAAAAACTCAAGCAGGCAACGATCAAGGCTGGCTCAGATGCTGCCAAGGCGGAAAAGAGAACAAACAGAGGGGACTTGGTTGATTTGGGAGGATTGATCCAAGGTGTTTGATCCGAAGGGAAAGAAGCAGAAACCCGGGCGAAGTCATTGTTCACAACTGTTGACTGTTTGTTGAAAATTGTAACAATAACAGAGTTTTTTGTGTTAATCTGATATTGTTGTCATAAATCATACTAGGGTTGGATCAATGCTTGAGTGTTCACTGGAGGAAAAACAGCTTTGCGGCAGAAATAATAAATAGTCCCTGGGAGAGACGAGAACCTGCCATACAATCTGCTTCTCTTGAGAGAGGAGCTGCCTACTCTGGAAGAACCTGCTTGCGAAACCCTGGTAGAAATTGCACAACAGCAATGGCAGTTACTAGTTGGACAGAATACCCACCAGGCACAGCATTCATTTATTTCCAGCTTCACATGAAACGGGATGGGACATGGTACATGCAAAACAAAGATTGCAGGTGTACCGATAAGACAACCTCAGCAGCTCTGAAACATCTTGGTTTCAGGTGGGCAAGCGCCCAACCCACCCATGTTCCTCCTTTCTGTAGTTCCTCCCCAACCTTCCATTTCCCCATTCCATCCCACCACTCCTCCACCTCCATTCCCCCATCTCTTCCCCTCCATCAATCATCCATCCCTCCATGCCTCCATCTCTCCTCCCAACCGTCCATTCCACTGTCTCTCCCCATCCATCACTCCATCCATCCCACCACCACTCCATCCCTTCCCTTCCATCCATGATCCGTCCCTGCAACCGTTCACCCCCTCTCCGCTCTGCTTCAGTCCTTTGAGGCACCTCAAAAGTCCATCCATCCCACCACCACTCCATCCCTTCCCTTCCATCCATGATCCGTCCCTGCAACCGTTCACCCCCTCTCCGCTCAGCTTCAGTCCTTTGAGGCACCTCAAAAGTCCATCCATCCCACCACCACTCCATCCCTTCCCTTCCATCCATGATCCGTCCCTGCAACCGTTCACCCCCTCTCCGCTCAGCTTCAGTCCTTTGAGGCACCTCAAAAGTCCATCCATCCCACCACCACTCCATCCCTTTCCTGCCATCCATCCATCCACCCCTGCAACCACATCCACCCCCTCTCCACTCTGCTTCAGCCTCACTGGAAGCACGTTTTCGGCGTGCACGGCAGCTCGGGAACATCCCCGTTTCTAGGCCCTGCATTAACGCGTATAAAGTGTGCGAGCTCCCGGTCCGCAGTGTGCATGGGCAGCCGATACGGCGGGTCGAAAATGGACAAATCAGCGTTAAACTCTGTAAAAGTCGCTCCATTCACCAGCAAATCCCCAAACGACCGGATCACAGGAGTCGTATCAAACCCCTCGGTCCATAGGGCGCGTTCGCCAAACCACGGGGTGAGTTCTTTTCGCGCGTCCCCGGCGATGAAAATGTTGCGATCCGAGCGAATTGCAGCGTACATACGGCCGCCAAGGCAGTAGTAAGACCATTTGGAATATAAGCTGTTGGCCACGTGGACCCTGCCCCACCGCGCCTTGGGCTGTCGCTGCCCCGACTTGTCAAACCAGTTGCGGTAGAGCGTCACCCGCATGTCCACGTCGTACACCCCGTCGTCCTCCGCTCCTAACAGCATGGTGAGGTTGCTGTGTGGGTGGGAAGGTGGGGGGGGGGGGAGGCAGGGGATAGGGGGAGGGGGGTGTAGAGGGCTACTCGCATGTCCACGTCGTATACCCCGTCGTCCTCTGTGCCTAGCAGCATGGTTAGGTTGCTGTGTGGATGGGCGGGGCCACATGAGGGGAAGGTGGGGCAGGGCATTATACATTACACGCGTCACTCGCATGTCCACGTCGTATACCCCGTCGTCCTCCGCGCCCAGCAGCATGGTGAGGTTGCTGGTGGCGGAGGGGAGGCAGGGGATAGGAGGGAGGGGAGAGTAGAGCGTTACTCGCATGTCCACGTCGTACACCCCGTCGTCCTCCGCGCCCAGCAGCATGGTGAAGTTGCTGGTGGCGGAGGGGAGGCAGGGGATAGGAGGGAGGGGAGAGTAGAGCGTCACTCGCATGTCCACGTTGTACACCCCGTCGTCCTCCGCGCCTAGCAGCATGGTGAGGTTGCTGTGTGGGTGGGAAGGTGGGGGAAGGGAAGCAAAGGAATGGCGTGGAGGAGGGAGGGGATAAGAGGGTAGAGCGTCACCCGCATGTCCCCGTCGTATACCCCATCGTCCTACTCTCCCAACAGCATGGTGAGTTTGCTGCTTGGACGGGTATATGTGAGGAACATGGGGTATATATACACACAACACACGTATGTGCGCATAAGGGGCCTTTTATCAGTTGCGGATGGTGGTGGTGATATCCATAGAACTGTAAACGGCATCCACTGTACCACTTACAGCCTTGTACGCCTGCCAGTGGTCCACCCACACGCGCATCGTGCCCTCTAAAGCTGACATAATATATACTCTTGGCTAATATACGTATATATACACTTACCAGTTGCTAATATACACTTAGATACACTTACCGGTTGCTGATATACGAATTGCTGATGGTGATATCCGTAGAGCCGTAAACAGCATCCACTGTACCGCGCAAGGCCTTGTACACCTGGCAGTGGTCTATCCACACGCGCGTCGTGCCCGCAATGTGCACCACATCGTGATCGCCGCGCTGGTCGCCGACTGCACGTGTTGAGGCGGGGGAGGGAGTTGTGTATAGGGGGATGGGGGCACTTCAGGAGGACGGTGAGGGGAAGTAGGGGAGGGGGATTCTTGGGCTCACTCATTTCAATGTGCGCCACGTCGTGGTCGCCGCGCTGGTCGCCGACTGCGCGGATGGGAGTGTCGGGGGGAGGAGAGAGAAGGGGTGGAGAGAGAAGGGGTGGAGAGAGAGGGGGTGGAGAGAGAGGGGGTGGAGAGAGAGGGGGTGGAGAGAGAGGGGGTGGAGAGAGAGGGGGTGGAGAGAGAGGGGGTGGAGAGAGAGGGGATGGAGAGAGAGGGGGTGGAGAGAGAGGGGGCCCCGGGAGAAGTGGCAAAGCGTGTTTCGGGTTCAGCTTATTGCGATGCGCACCAAGTCGTGGTCGCCGACTGCACGAGTGGTAGGCCGGGGGGAATGGGGAAGGGAGGGGAGGAGGGTGTGGGCGAAAGGGGAATTTATGGTCCACTGATCGCGTCGCTGGAAAAAGGGGGGGATTCTGTGGTCGACGCGGAGGGCCGTGCATAGAGGCCCGCGCGTAGGGTCTTATGGCGAACTACAGCAATTGGGACACCGTGCATCCAGTCTCCACCTTCCCTCCCACGGCAACTCGACGAACCAAGAACCACTAAGAACCACCACGCGATTATAAACGAAAGCGCTACATGTAATTCTCTCCTCTTCCAACGGCCGCGCCACCCCATCACCATCCACCGTGCACATAGCCCCGCCAAACACCGTTCTTCCCTACGTCCTCCTTAACCCCCTCCCCAACTTCCCCCACCCCCCCCCCCCTCCCCCCTCCCCCCTCCACATCTTCCCCCGCCCCCTTTCCCCACCTAGCCCTCTCCCCCTTCCAACCTATTCCCGTTACACTCACTCGCGACGTTGTGTATGATCACATTCGTGATGTTCTGCAGAACCATGCCTCCGCGTATAATCACACTCGCGCCGCGACCGTCGATCGTCACGTGCGACTGCAGAAACAGCCGCTTCTGCAACCTAATGAACATCGAGCTATTAAAACGTATAATCACACCCTCGGGATAATTACTTAACCCCCATCTTAGCGTGCCTTGCGGAACGTCCTCTGCCCTATCCACGTCACTGGTAACCACATAAATCGGCTTCCCCAGCCCGCCAGTTACGCCGGCAAGTGCGGCGTAACCCATGGCGCATCTGTACAGATTCTCTCCCGCGCCGCGCGAACGGTACGGACAGTCCACGTTCCTCTCCCCGGCTTTAATCACATCTTGATACGGCGTCATGGGAAACCTATCCCCCGTTACTGGGAGCACCCACGAGTCTTGCCCCACTGAACCGCCTTCCACCGTGCCTGGGTTCGTCTTTCCTCCCACATCCTCCTCCCGGTCGCCCTTTCTCCGCTTCCCCTTCCGCCGCGGCAGCCTCACGGGGAAGTTCCGCGCGGTGAAGAGCTCCGCGGGAGGAAATTCCGCGCCTTCCCCGCTGGTGCCGTCCCCCGGGTCTATCAGCCAAGTACCCCCTCCTCCTCCCCCTTCTTTCCCCCCTGCGTCATCCGCTTGCCCCCGCTTCTTCTCTCCTGCGCCACCGATCTCGCCATTGCTTGTGCTTTCGCCTGGCGTTTTCCAAATGCTGTCGGGGGCGGAACCGAAGAAGCGATCGAGGCGGAACAAGGGAGGGAGACGCAACGGCTCCTGCTCCTGCTCCTCTTGCTGTTGCAGTTGCTGCTGCTGTTGCTTTTCTAAGCGAGTTTTCTGGTGAGATACGGTCGCCGCTGGCGACGCGTTTGCGACAAACGGACGAGCGCCACTGCCAGGCGGAGTAAGCGTAGCGAGTGACATTATAACGAGGTTCCAGGTCCAGAGGAGCAATAGTCGATGTAATCTACCCGTACGGGTGAAAGCCTCGCGAGACCGTCGAAAGGATGCATTACAGCGACCGGAAGTCTTACAACGGTCGGATGTCGTACTGTACACAGAGGTGTACTGTGCGGCCCTGCGTCGCGCTCCCGGACTGTAACCGCGCGCACTATGTTCATGGGCAGGCCTACTGCAGTCAGGGGCGTCACAAGCACGAGGGAAACAGTCGCGCGTGCTACTAGCGTGCGGTTGACTCGCAAAACTAGGAGAGCATTGAGAGGGCTTAGGGTCAACCGCGCGAGGGGGACGGACGGCCATGGTAATGTACAATGGCGAAACGAGAGCACCAGCAGCTACCTTCATTGGAGAAGATCGGGGGGGGCTATTCAAGTTGAAATTTGTTTGACCTCAGGTTTCCTAGGTTGGGGCTCGGCAACTGGTTGGAAATGTTGCTCTCAAGAACGTGCGCACGATTCTTTCAATTGGAAAGCCTGAGCCGAGGCGCGTTCGGTTCGGAACAAGTTTAGTCAACACGTTTTCGCGTCAAAAGTGCACAGACGTCCGTTCCGAGGAAAAGTAGGAATATGCGAGGAATGGAACATCGATACCCAACTCGGCTGTCGAAAAAGCAAAATATGTAACAATGTAACTGAAACTGGAGTACAGTAAGGCTCTCGAATGTGGAAAAGGTAAATCGGAAATTTAATATGAATCGCGTATTGAGAATCCGGTTTGCGCACATTTAAGTTCACGTAACGATAACTGGTAACCACAACCCGGTACAAGAATGGCGTGTTACAAAGCAACAGGCGTGGTAACTAAATATTTTCTTAATTAGCATGTGTACATAAGAATAACATATATGTGATTGTAACTAGATGTGGTAACAATTCATTCTGTTATACCATCGAATGAATATAATCACGTGTTTTAATAATTACTACACTTTCATAAACATTTTAGTAAGAAAAAAATATTAAAATATTTTAAAAAACACGCAGAACAGGAAGATTTACAACACCATCTACACCCGATGTCCATCCTGTTAGAATGGACTAAGCTACTAGCGGAAGCTTTAGTAGTCTTAGAACCTCCTCCTAAAGCCTAGGAATCTTAGGAGCCCACTTGGGCATGAACCATGCTAGAACCAAAGTGGTTTCCAAGAAGTGAAGTTCCAACAAGAGAGAGCCCTAACCTATAGGGTTTGGGAGGTGGTCCACTCTAAAGAGTGTACACCACAAGTTCTCCCAACCCATCCAATGTATTCTACACTACTACAGTGTAGATCTGCCACTACATATGTTTATTGGAGCAACCCGAATTAACCTTAATTCCAACACCCCCCCTTGCTCCAATAAGCATTAAGTTTACCCATAAATCAAAACACAACCCCTCCAGCGAATGAAGCATTGGCCTTCGCAGCCATCACTCGCATGCCGATGCGCTCAAGGTTCTCATGCAGCTGCAAGCTTGGGAGAGCTTTGGTGAGCATGTCGGCATCCTGGAGGTGGGAGCGTACTGAGTGCACCTCGACCTCCTGCTGGCGCACCGCATCCCGTACAAAGTGCCATGCCACCTTAATGTGCTTGGTGCGCTGATGGAGAACGGGATTGTGGGCAAGGGAGACAGCAGCCTCATTATCACAGAGCAATGGAATAGCCCCCCCATCCCCCACATGCATCTCTGCCAACAAACTCCTCAACCAAATGGCCTCCTTGGCCCCCTCCGATAGAGCTTTGTACTCAGCTTCAGAAACGCTTGCTGCAACACTGTCTTGCTTTTTGCTATACCAGCTGATAGCTCCTCCTCCCAACTTAAAGATGTAGGCAGAGCGACTCTTGCCATCAGTCTCACCACCCCAATCCGAGTCGGTGTACCCAACAACCTGCTCACCACCTTGGCGTTCATACCTGATGACACGATCAGCTGTGTCGACCAAGTACCTGAGTGCTCTCAGTGCAGCGCGCATGTGAATGCGTCTTGGTGCCACGCAGGACTGTGCAAGGGTGTTGACAGTGAAGGACATGTCAGGACGGGTAGTCACCGCAGCATACATCAAGCTGCCAATGAGACTCTGGTACACCTTGACATCAGCTGCAGCACCTTCGTCAGTCGACCAAGTACCATTCCTCAGCACCTTCCTCAGTCACCACGGACATACTTCTCCTGACCAATCTCCAACCACCCATCCTTGACCGACCTGCGAACCTCCACACCAAGGTACGTGGATACCTCACCTAGATCCTTCATCTGGTACCTCTGAGCAAGCACCTCCTTGACCTGACCGATCAGCTCCAAGCATGGAGACACAAGCAAGAGGTCATCCACATACACCAATACATACACTGGCTCTTCATCCACAAACCTCATGTACAGAGCCTCATCGCATGCACTGCGGTCAAACCCTGCTGCAATCAGGGTGGTACCAATCTCCTCATTCCAAGCACGAGGCGCTTGCTTGAACCCATAGAGAGCTTTGCGCAAGCGATACACCCTACCTGTACCATCATCAAATCCCTCAGGTTGCCTCACATACACCTCCTCTTGAAGGACTGCATTGAGGTAAGCATGATCAACATCCTCCTGTTGTACATGCCACCCTTTTACTGCGGCTTCTGCAAGAAGCACCCGACCTGAGGTGAGCTTGCCCACAGGGGCAAATACCTGATCATAGTCCTTCTCGGGCTCCTGAGTGTACCCCTTAGCAACAAGGCGAACCTTGTGCTGTACCACCTTATCCTCCTTGTCAGTTTTCCTGCGGAAAACATACCTGACCCCAATGGCCTTCTTACCTGGAGGTAAGTCGACTGGCTCTGGATCCCATACACCCATAGTGCGCATTGCATTCACCTCCTTCTCAGCACCTGCCTTCCACGCAGGGCCCTCAGGGCCACGCAGTGCCTCAGCGAGTGTGTGTGGGACATCACCGGTGCTCACACCTGCTAGTGCAACACCCTCCACCTCCCTGGCCAAACACAGCATGCCCTCAACCACACCAGCATCCCCCCCTACCTCCTCACCACCTGTACCAGACTGGATACCAAGCACCTGCAAACCCGTAACCGGTGGTGGGGAGGTAGTCGCTGGTGACGTAGGTGCACCCGTAGAGAGAGGGACAGAGCGCTGACCAGAGGAGGAGGAAGAGGAAGTAGCCTGGGTAGCGGATCTCCGCTGAATGACCGAGGGGCCACTGAGCTGCTGTAGAGGGGTGGGCTGCTGCTGCACCGACACACTCAGCGGTGCCGGTGGCGGTGAGGAAGGTGGCATCTCAGCGGCATCAACCGCTGCTGAGGGTGGCGAGAGTGGAAGAGGGAGGAGCTGGGAAATCTCAGCTGCATCCTGAAGAAGCTCCCCAAATCCCTTTGCCTTGTCCCAATCCTTCCACATCACATTCTCAAGAAAACCAACATCCCGAGCAATGCGAATGCGCATGAGAGAAGGGTCCAACATGCGCCAACCCTTGCTCTCCATGTCCACCCCAACACAGACACACATGACAGCGCATGCATCAAGCTTGCCACCCTTCTCATGCCCATGCAGCATGACACTCCCCATGCAACCCCAAATCCGAGCCATACCCACATGCGGCTTCTGGTCGGACCACGCCTCCATTGGTGTGATGGAGGCAGGCAAAGCACTGTGGGTGACCCTGTTCTTAACCCACATGACCCACATCAAAGCTTCACCCCACAAGCGAGCAGGGAGACCACTGTCGACCAACAATGTGCGAATCCCTTCTGCCATCGTCCTGTGCCACCTCTCCACGACCCCATTCTGTTGTGGTGTATCTGTGACGCTCATTTGGGATTTGATGCCAAACTCCGCCTTCCAAGCTTTTACAACTTTCCCCAAGAACTCGCCACCGCCCACACTCCAACTCCACGTCCTTATGCCACTGGCGAAGGACTTTTGCGGCTGTGGCTGATTCCTTGTTGGGGAGTGGAAACGACCAAACCCGTCTGGTGAAGTCGTCAATGAGACTGAGGACATACACCGCTCCTCCCAGTGACGGTGTGCGCACTGGCCCCACAAATCCATGTGGACCTCATCCAAAGGCCCAAGTGCCCGAGACGCCTCATGCGGAAACGGCTTCCGAGCCGACTTTCCCAATAAGCAAGGCTCACATGGGGAGCAATCAGTGCTCCCCCCCCCAATCTCCAAGCCCAGTACACTGCTCCCCCGAGCCATCTGTTGCAATGTTGTGGGGGCGGTATGACCAAGGCGGCGATGAGCAAGGGTCAATGGGGAAAATGAGGAGGAGGACCCAGCTGCAAGAGCACTGCCCTGTGTGCCCTGAGCAAGAGGAAGAAACATCCACACCAATCCATGGTCTCTTCCCCTCTCCTTTTCTCCAATCGCCAACACCTTCTCCCCCCGTTTAAGGACCCATCTCTTGCCCTTGAATGTGACAATGACATCTCGAGAGGTGAGGTGTGGGACTGACAGCAGACGCGTGTGCATCTCAGGCACAAGGTGGACCTTTTGAATCCTCAGCAGCTGACCTCCAGCACCAACCACTGGCACCTCACCCATGCCAACAGCTTTCACCACCCGTCCATCTCCCAATCTAACTCCCCGAACCTCTGGTGGCTGAAGCTTACTTTTGAAGTCTGACGCATAAGGAGTAAAGTTGTGGCTGGCCCCACTGTCAATCCACCACCCCTCTCGCGGCTGCTCCTCTCCCACTGCTGCAACTGCCTCTCCAACCACTGCATCTGCCTTGTCATCCTGCTCCTCCTCATCCGCCACCTGTGCCTTGCCGTTGGACCCACGACCCCCCCGCTTTAAGAATGCCAGAATGCCTCCCTTAGGTCGATGAAGACACCGCTGCCATGCATGTCCCTCATCCCAACAGCCATGACACAACCCCCGAGGAGCCATGTCCTTGGACCCCCCGGGGAAAGCAAGCACTCCTGCTTTGCCTTTCCCTTAACCCCATCTGCCCGAGTTGGTGTCACTGCTGCTACCGCTGCCTCCATGCTTTCCTCCCTTGTCCCAATTTCCCCTGTCGCTGCTGCCCACTTTCGTACCCGCTCCAAAGGTGGCTACACCATCCGATCGTGGTGCGACACCAATCCGCATCTCCTCGCTCCTCAAGGAGGTAAGCAGCTGATCCTTAGTGAGCAATGATGACTGGTTGTTCAGCACCACCTTCAGCATCTCAAAGTGAGGAGGTAGTCCTTTGAGCACCCTCATCATCCACTCCTCAACCTCCTCCTTCCCTCCTGCAGCCAAGTACTTGGACCTCAAGTCCTCGGCACGTGCCCAGTATGCAGCCACTCCCTCCCCCTCTTTCATCTTCAATGAGGAGAGCTCCTCAGAGAGTGCCATCCGATTACACAATCCACGCTGAAGGTAGAACTCCTTCACTCATGTGTATGCCGCTGCTGTGCCTGCAGGAACTCGGGTGACTGCTCTTGCTCCGCCATCAACAGGTGCGCTGCCCAACTCGGTCTTGCCGCCGAACTCCCGTACCAAGCGAATCAGCTCATCTAGCACCAAGGCATTGCAAAATTGGGCGAATGCCTTCTGATTTTTCCTCTCCCACTTCAGTCGTGCGTCACCCGTTGCAGGTCGCTCCTCCGAGCCATCAAAGTACCCCCATAGATCGTGCGCCTCTGCCCATTGTTCGAATCGGAAGCTCCAAGTCCAATAGTCGCTCCCGTCAAACTTTGGCGCACTCTCCAGCTTCCCTTCCCCTGAGTCATGATCCATTTGTGGCGCAGGCACTGAAGATTGACGTTGAGGTGGTGGTGGAGGCAACGGCGGTGGCGGTGAAGACGATGCGGGCAGATTCACCCCCTCTTGGTTTTTGGAGCGTAACTCCGCGCTCGAACCTCCGAATGATGAGCCGTTTAGTTCTGATGAATCCTCGCTCCGAGCCCGTTCCAATGGTGTATCGTGCCCCGGGATCCCACATCCGAGCTGTCCGCTTAAACTCGTCGAAGTTGTCCGAGTTTCCGTCGACGAAGACTAACCGTTTCGCCCGATTTTCGGCTTGTTGGATGCGCCCTGGTGTCCTCTCTTGGCGCCCGCCCTCCAATTTCTTTTCCGCGCTTTAAATCGTCCCCGATTTGCAAATTTCCAATTCGGCTGCCGGCAGTTTTTCGCGAATTGCGTCCGATCCGCTCGTCGATTGGTGACGACCCCGAGGCAATTGTTGTAGATCGTGCTGAGCCCGTTCCTTCCAACGGTATGCTGCACGTCTTGATCGGCCAAAGTTGACTGAGCGCCTCCGTGAATGGATGTCGCTCTTCTCGTCCTCCCGAATGGATCCACACGATTTCCAGCAGTTTTCTTCTCTCCTCCTCCCCTCCCACGTCCAGAGTCCGCCACGGTGCAATTTCGGCAGCCCTTCGGGAGGGATGGAAGCTATTTAGCTTCCACCAAGGTATTATGATCCAAGCTATTAGGGATAGCTCCTATTCCAACAGATTGCTAGGCCTTCCTAGCTTTGATACCATGTTAGAATGGACTAAGCTACTAGCGGAAGCTTTAGTAGTCTTAGAACCTCCTCCTAAAGCCTAGGAATCTTAGGAGCCCACTTGGGCATGAACCATGCTAGAACCAAAGTGGTTTCCAAGAAGTGAAGTTCCAACAAGAGAGAGCCCTAACCTATAGGGTTTGGGAGGTGGTCCACTCTAAAGAGTGTACACCACAAGTTCTCCCAACCCATCCAATGTATTCTACACTACTACAGTGTAGATCTGCCACTACATATGTTTATTGGAGCAACCCGAATTAACCTTAATTCCAACACATCCTCTGTCACACCTTATCCCAAAGAGACCTCATGTTCATCCCCAGCAAGGTCATTTTCCAGCACTTCCTTGGACACTTCTGTCCGGTTAAGAAGATACAAACGACCAACGATAAGGCCACCATCTGGACCACGTAAGGGCTGCACTCGGTTGATGATGCGTTGAACGATGCGCGCCTAGCGAGCGATGGCATCAGGATCACCAGAGCGCTCCAGCCTGGTCTTTGTAGACGTCGGATGTCGAAGCCTGTAGCGAACCTGAAAGCATAAGGGGGGTAATCGAATTAGAGATTGTCTCACAAAAAAAAAACAACACATCATATGAAGCACATACAGCAGCAAGACTGATGCACAGCTGTTCACCCTGCAGGCCAATCATTGAGCTGTTACACTTAGCGCCAGCCCAGACTTTTGCCACAGCAACAAATGCTGGACTGGAAAATGGAACACCATCTAACGCATGCCAATCTATTCCTTCAAATCCTGAAAAATGGTTCACAGTTTATAGTCAATCCACACTACCAAAACGGTGTTACACGAGCATAAGAATAGAAAACAACAACTTACTAGTAGAGTTCATTGATACCCAGTTGAAGCAGATCAGTGCAAATGAGAAGGAAGGGTTTCCGTCAACCTTTCCCTTGAGGACCAAGAGAGGCTCATTGGTCAAAGCAGCACTGCGAACATCGGATAGTTTTTTCCCAGCCTGTTGTTGAACGTGTCTTGAAGGTCCTCCAAGTGACCACATTCCAGGGCTTCTCGTTTCAACGACAACCAGACTCATGGTCGGGATTTAACCATGCGCAAGCTGTTTCAAGATCATGATAACTATATGTAACTTTTAGATTACGCACTAAAGCAGAAAACTTTAACAAAAGAACACTCTTACCGCAAAGGACGTTCCCCTGAGTGTCGTCATTGGGCACGAAATTGATGAACCCCGGCTTTGTTAGCAAAGTGCTGATTGCTTGCTTTTTCAATTTCTGGTTGGGAAAAAAAAGGGGGACGATAGGGACACCGGAAAATAAAGTCGGATTTAAACAGATGCATTGTCAACTAACTAGTGTGACTTAACAATGAATACAATCAATCCTTCAAAGTACTGGCCAATTCCTAGCAGGCCTAGTGACTTCTGCAAGCTTTTGCGTGAGCATTCCGATCGTGACTAACGCCTGAGCAGCAACCGCACTCTGCTGCTGAAGCACTTCTTTAGCATCCTTCACTGTTTCCTCAGATTGACGAGCCTTCAGTAGAAGCTCGCCCGAGACCTTCGCGACTTTGTTGGGCGTTCCAAAAGTCCTGGAACCGTGCTGTTACCCTTTCCCGTAAATAGATTGAGAAGACGAGCTTGTGAGAATTGTACGAGGAATGAAATCAACTAGGAAGCAGGTGGGTACAAATATGAAAACCTAAAAGAGTTGTACCCCATATTGTCAACCCCACTACAGCCTACAAGATGGTTCTGACACACCCCCATAGGCAAAGTGGGGGACAAACAAGAGAACAAGACAGGGTCAATCTCAGGGTGGATCACAACGTCACCACACATTCCGAGCACAAGTTCAAGGCCACAAGGCCAGTTCACATGCAGGATTATAAATCAAGGTGAACAAGCAAGACAGTGATCTCAACCCAACAAGGGCAAGCATGCAGGTGCAGGTATATATAGATCACAGTACAAGCAAAGTCAAGAGGTAAGTAAGTGAGGCCCTGCAGGCACAAGACCTAGCATAGTACAGAAACGCTGATATCAGCAGTGTTGGCCCGAGAGGCCACGTAAGCAAGACGAAGCTGGCCACGCTGCTGCAACTCTCGAGCAAGGAAGTAGCGCAGAGCAATGTGCTTCGTTCTGTGCTCCAGTCTGTGCTCCTGACACAAGGCCAGCATGGCCTTGTTGTCGACGTACAGAACTGGAGGGGAACGAGGCGGCTCTCCCAAGTCGGTCAGCAGGTAGGTGAGCCAGCGTAACTCCTGTGTAGCCATGGCCCCATCGTAGATCTCAGCCTCACAACTGGAGCTGAGAACAGAGGACGAGCAAGTAGACCGCCACGAAACAGAGCCGGAACCAAGGCTGAAGGTGTAACCCTGTGACGACCGCTGCGTAGCCAAGTCGTCAACCCAAGAAGCGTCTGCGTGACCAGTGAGGACAACTGGACCCCGTCCTCCAAGCACGAGCCCCATGCCCGACGTACTGCACAAGTAGCGCAACACCCTCTTAGCTCCAGCCATGTGCTCTGGTCGGTGTCTCCCAGGAGAAACATAGCGAGCCAAGATGCTAAGAGGGTATGCCAAGTCAGGTCGAGTGCAGGTCATCAGGTACATGAGGCAGCCAACAAGCTCTGGGTACGGGCCACTCGGCTCTACGGACTCATCCGAAGGCAGAGCTGAGAGCGAGTGGCGAGTAGACAGAGGAGTGGCCTGAGGCGAGGAGTACGTGAAGTCAAAGCGCTGAAGGACCTGCTGCACCATGTGTGACTGAGTCAAGGTAATGGTGCGTCGCGCTCTGTCCGGGGTGATCTGCAAGCCAAGATAGCTGCGCAGCTCACCCAGCTCTGTGCACGTGTGTCTCTTCTGCAGCTCCGACTTCACGTGGGCGAGTCCCTCAGTGTCAGCAGTGGCAAAGACCAAGTCGTCGACGTACACGAGGATGTAGAACGGCGGCAGCGAAGTGTCGGTGCGGAGAAACAGCGACGGGTCAGCAGTAGAAGGAGCAAACCCAAGAGCCGCAAGCGTAGTCCTCAGTGTGTCGTGCCACTCACGGGGCGCCTGGCGGAGACCGTAGACTGGCCGCCGGAGGCTCCACTGGGTACCAGGAGGAAACGACCCAGTGAAGCCAGGTGGACGGCGCAGCCAGATCTCCTCGTGCAGGCTGCCCTGTAGGAAAGCAGTGCTGAAGTCAAGAGAGTGAAGTTCGTAGTCACGCTGAGCAGTGACGTGCACCAGAACCCGAAGAGTGGTCATCTTCGGGGTCGGGGAGAAGGTCTGGAAGAAGTCAACTCCGTGTCGCTGACTGAAGCCTCGAGCAACCTTACGCGCCTTGAAGACAGGCGGAGAACCCGGCGACCGCTTCACCCTGAAAATCCACATGCCACTGACGATGTTCGCCCCAGGAGGGGGAACC